CGCTGCTGTCGCTTCTTTGCCCGCTACAACATTGGCTAGAATTTCCCGGATTGATTCTCGTTCGGAAAAGAAATCATCCATCTCCGAGATATCCAAACCTTTATATTCTCGATCTGGAAGCAACCCTTGCATCGGTACTCTCTCGGAAATGAGTTCAAAGGAATCCTCTTCAAGGTTCAACCGATAGATTTCATGACAATGAAAATATGTTAAAACGACTAACCCATTTCTCGTCCTCTCCCCTATCACATTAAAAAAGGGTTTCTCTTGATGGTGGTGTAATCGGTGAGATGAAAAGATATAAGGAATCTGAGGTACGAAGATATAATCGCGCGTTGTGCGATGAGGTTGCTAACGTTGGTAGGTGGTCATTGCTTTTCCTGATACCGTATACGGTATCTGTTCATTCTCTGAACTGTATTAAATGTAACGATCGGATGATAAAAATAAAGGATGCGAAGACTTTTCCATAAATAATTCATTTGAGAGTCGCCGAAAAATTTTGCTCGGGAGCATGCAAGAAGGGAACGCGGTGATCTCAAGAATCATAAAATCTAACGAAGGGATGATTAAAAAGATTGACGAAATATTGACTGAAGTACTTGTTTTTTGCTCTTGACACAGAATCTTTAAATGCGTGATCTCATTTTTCGAACTTAATATATAATCCAGAATTAGGCAATTCTCTGTACATAATTTAGATAACGATGAACGAACACCGTAAAACCTTCCAAAATAAGCACTGCGCATTGAAAACCTTTAAAGTGTGAGACATGGTCACATTGCATGAACGCATACAGTACTGTATACAGCATAACGATAATTAATTCATTGCATACACTCGTTTGATGGTATGGTTGAATCAGTTTTATTAACAATCAAGATGTGAAATATGAGGTGAATTCATGAGAAACAATGAAAGAAAAAGATACACAGCATAATAATTCTTATTGTTCTCATAAGCTATCTGTAATACAGTATATCGAATTAGTAAAAGAAAGTTAAACACGAAAAAAATATCTCGTTCATAAGGATATGCTGTCGACATTGAATTCGGAGATACTGTATAAAATATCCGTTTCTTAACGAAAGATGACTAAAAATCGTGGCAATGTAGACTAAAAGTAATTTAATGTTTATAAGCTTAAAAGGATTAATACTATGCCGTACTATTATCACTTCGTATATGCATTTTAAAAATCGGTGACCTTACCGGATTGGAATTAACAATTATAAAGTTGGCAGGAGGAGAAGGAGAAATGACATCCACGCAAAAAATTGCTTTATTGGATCCACTCGTGTAGCCAATAGAAACGGCGGGAGATCTCCCGAACCACATTTGGTTAACACCACTACGAGAATAAGAAGTTTTATTTCCTTCTCTAATGATCCCGCAGACGCCACAACCTGATTGGCATATCGGTTCTTTGCGAGAAATCAAATTTACAGGATCGCAAACAGACTTTGTGCCATGATACATTTTGTACAATGCACTTCCCGAGGTGGCCATGTTACCTTTCAAGGCGTCATGAGCCTTAACGATGTTACTTGGCATCTGCAAGAGTAGAATTCCTAAAATTGTGGCTTGAGGCAATGCAGATGAAAATTCTCGTTGGATACGGATGTAATCCAAATTATTGGTAGAGAGTGTAGAGATTTTCGTGGAAACCAAAGAGTCGGAACCTTTCCAATAACACGCAGGACTACAAAATAAATAATAATTTTTTCTCTTGGATGGTTCGATATATCTTGAACGATTGCATCCGTTTCGAGCACATTTTTTTTGGAATTGAGCGCAAGTTCGTCCGCAATAGTCAAAGACTTTTCCGTCGGCTTCCACATATTTGAGTTTACGACATCTAGCGTTAGAACATTTTCCGACATTCGCCTTATAAATTGAAGCACAAGTCTTGCTACAATAAGGATGTGCGTATCCATCTGCTTCTATGTACACGGGCCTGTTGCAATTGGAACGTGTGCAGGTGGCAACTTGTTCGATTCTTCACAAGTTTAACAAGAAAAAATTAGTATTATTTTCACGGTCAAGATACTCTTGATGTTCGGGACAGTGACTTCTTACCTCATATTAGAGACACTGGGAATAAGATTGAGGATAAATTCTCGGAAAGACATTTTCAATAATACAAACGGTATTTGAGCTTTATATTCAACGAGATCAGTTTACGTAGTTAGAGATACTATCAGATCAATCACGTAAACTCTTTGCACAAAGTCAATTTTCATAAGTGGCGTAGAACTTATTTAATACAGTAACACGATGTCAACGACGTGACTACTGTATTTTACTGCGAAATGACTTTGCGCAGTCTATACATTACAGTACTTCATTAATTAAACTTTTTAGTTCCGAAGAGATTAACCTGAGATCAATATCAAGTGAAATGTCATGCGGAATCTGAAATAAAATCAAAGAATCCAGCGTACTGTACTGTACAAATTGCATACACATGATTCAAAATTCAAAATTTTTTTATTGCTTATAATTTTTAAAAATAACCCAGCTTACAGTATTATTTAATATGTACTGTACATACAACTACTGCTGTCTTATCGCGAGCATTAACTTTTTACAGTACATACAGTACAGTAAATTCTTTCTGTATGCTAGTTATCACTTACTATTTTTAATCATCGGAAGAGAATTCTTATTCAAAAAAGATGCATATTATATCCTACTATGTTGAACTTCGGGAAAGCCCTCCAAATAATTTAACTCGTTCAATTCAGGAATTATCCATCTCTCCAACTTGGATTCATATGGACGATACTTTAAAGACATCCGATGACACTCTTTAAGCATTAATTGAGTCCTGAGTTCTTGCAGCATCTCGCCCAAGCGATTCAAACCTCCACCATTTCGACCCCCATCTCCCCAATAGTAATCGTTGGTGGTGTGCTCATGAATTCTTGCCGTTCCAGTGGAAAGGATTAAATACTTCAAGTCTTCATGCTGCGTGAATTTATACCTCAAGGCTTTTTTCATAATTTTTTCTTTGTATGGATCCCCTTTAGGAAGTTCCCAATTACCACGTTTCATTCTGTCATATTCGCGCGCAATCCTAAAAGCGTCACGTGCATATTCGTGAGTACGGATTTTTTCGCGAAGTTCCAGATTATCAAATTTCGATGCTTGAACTATTTCAATTGTAAATGAGGTTAAATACGTAGTGTTATAATCAACAGTTTGGAAACAGAACAGTAATCACATATTTATTCGGTGTCTTACAATAATGTTCAGTCGAAGGCCACTTAAGATCATCAATGATAACCTCAGCTTTAAAGAAATTTGTGAATTCATAATACGGTTCAGCCTTGTTGTAAAATTTGACGATTTCTTCTTCGGCACCGGAAGTTTTATACTACAATAATGACAAAGAAAGATTCAATTATCTATTAAACAAACGATTGAAAAAAAATAATCATTAAAGTTACCGCTTCATAAAAAACTTGTAAAAGCGCTTCTTTTTTACCACTAGTTATAACAGCGTTTGCGCCGGCATTAAAAAAATACCACCGAACATTGAAATAATGAGTAGTGTAAATTGCAATTATTGATAAGGTTTGTTTGAGAAAGACTTTGCGTAATTCACGAATAAAGTCGGCATTCAGTTCGGGATCGATAGCGGAATGACTAAATACAAACAAGACAATTCTCCACCCATTGGCCCAGCAATTCAATGCCACGTCGGTAATAAAACCTTTCGCTTGATTGCAATTATATGGACTGTATGTATGAACACAACAGAATATGGGATAAAATCCCAGTTTATAAAACTCTTGACGGCTTGGAGTAAATGCAATATTCGAACCGAAAGATAAAAAAAGTGCAACCGTTCTTATTTTTTCTCTGATTACTGGCAAATTGCGAATGAATTCTTCAAATTTGAGGATTGAATAGGGCTCATTACTGTATCCTCCTGTGGGTTTGTTTAGATTTTGAGCCCTGACACTGCTTCTTCCGCTAGAACTTCCTCCTTGATTTTCTCTCACGACATCTCTGTAACTGACTGATTGAGTGTTCCCCATCTCGGTTAATGGAATGTGATTCTTACTGCCGAAAGTTTTTCCTATTTGCAGAGATACGCTGGCATACTCACAATAAAGATTGTTTTTATTATCGTTCTTCAAAGGATCTAATTCTTTGGAATCATGATCATCGATAGGCGGGTCATCTTTCGGATGTGGATTCTGGGATAGTAATTCCATCTTCATTGGTTGCATTGGAGGACGACAGAGTTTTGGAGGCGGCTCGTTATAAATGGCTTCGACATCAATTTCCTCAGTCGCTTCAAAAGGGTAACTACCGGGAAGACCATCGACATCAATAAGATTCGAGACAACTTTGGTTGTCGCCTTTTCCCCCTCTTTATCATTTCCTGCAGGTTTTTTACCATCGACTTTATCAACATGGTCATTAATAGTATCAATATTCCAGAAAGCTAATCCCCAACCAATCGACCTCATGCGCAATGAAGTCAAAGGAGCAGTAATAATGATAGGGGCCTTATATTCACCTCCACTGAAAATGTTTCCATAAACGAAAGGAGGTTCTGAATGTATAATTTCTTGTTCATGGATAACTTCTCGTTCAGAATTCTTGTTTTCCTGTTTCTTTCTTTTATTTCTTATTCGATTTCTCTCATTCTTTCTTTTTGTTCTTCTCAGTCCTGAAACCTCTT